ACTACGTCACCGTTGATTTAATCATGGACTCAATTCTCAACACGGCCTCCACTCGAATTACGATAGTCTTGATGTCACTCCTCCTGCAATCTTGCCAACATCTACAAAGATGCATATATATATAACCGACAACGATGTGATGCATATTATGCGACGAAACTACGGTGACTGCAATTAGTCACAAGACTCACGACATTTGTGATGAAAGGCGTTTTGCTTGCGATGAAAATATGTTGGTGTTAGAATCGGTTTTAGTCTCCATACTTTGGGAAAGGGTCAATGGGCAACAAGAGCAACCCCAACTCTGTTGATATACTCTAAATTTTACAATTTTTACTATATTTTATATGCATTTTACTGCAGTTTTCTACCAAAAGAAATAGTTTTCTCGTATATATAAGTTTATGAATCTTAACAGGTTATAACATCAAGAATGATGCAAAAAGGATAAAAAGAGTGTTAAATATGCAATAGCTAATTTATTGAAGTCAAAGAACCAACCCAAGTCCTAAAGTCCCTAAGTCTTAAAAAATATGTAAATTCATAAGTTGGACATAACAAATGCACCAGAAGTTTACTAACAAAAGGAAGATCAATTCAACTTGTAATTGGATGAAATTTGGTGTCAGGATAGCCATTTGAGTTTGATTTCCAATGGAGTTGTACTCATGTCATTTGGAGCTCAACTCAGTAAGTTACACCCGATTTACCAAAGAATGGTCATTTTGCCTCGAAGATAAAGTTGATGGAAGATTGAAGCAAAACTCCGGTCACGACCGTGGACCGCTACTCAGGATACCTTACTAGAGCATTACATGAAGAATAGACATGGAGGCAAACAAATGACCGAGAGGAAGTTGAGTCACGAGAGAGGGAGACAGCACATATTGGAAAAAATGGGCTCCCATGCTTGATAAAATGTCACCTAGATGGCTCGTGGCATGAGGCAGACTCCATTAGCGGCCATGGATGGGTAGCTTGAATAATGGACACGCATTGCAGGTTGGACTTAAAATTTGTCGTAAGGGCCTATCCTCCCTCCATGCTGAACTAGACTCGCTTCTCTAGGCAATGCGAAGAATGCTTGATGTTCCGTTCGGAACGGACTGCTTGGACCTGATTCAGCTGGTATCGAACCCACTTCATTGGCCTGCATTCGCGTCTGAACTAGGAGATTTCTTTTTTTTTTTTGAAAAAGGGCTTTCTATTGAATGCATAAAAAAAAGGAAAAAGAAAACATACAAGTCCCATGGACTAGTGTTGTTACGGAAGCCCAACTACATTTAGTGGCCCATGTTTAATAATACAAGAAAAAAACCCAAGTTTGAACCGATTAAATGTTGTCTTGTTGCTGAAAGTTGAATCGTTCACCAGTTCCCGTTTACAGAGTCTCCGATCGAGTAATAGTGAGNTCAATGATTCCTTAGCCATCTTTGCATCATGCCAGAGCGCAAATTAGGATTTGTGTCTCTGAAGCCAGATATTCTATTCCGGATTGTTGAGTCTATGATCTGCAAAATCGTGTCAACCGATCGGAAAGTGTTCCGATGGAGTCTTTGGTTCCTCTCCGTCCAAATGTTGTAGATCGTTGTTTGCCAGGCAAGGAGAGACAGTCTCGTATTTTCTCTTGGTCCTCTTAAAGATTGCATGGTACTGATTGTTGAAGCCCAGTCCCTATGTGCTATTTTTTGAGAACGTGAAGCCACACGGCTCCATATAGACCAACTGAATCCGCAGACGAATAGCAAGTGGTCTCTACTCTCTGGTAGATTAGCGCACAACAAGCATTTAGGATCTGTTTGTAGACCCCATCCAAGTATCCTATCCTTTGTGGGACATCGATTAAGCACAAACAACCAACAGAGGAAACTTTGCCGAGGAACCCCCCCTTTAATCCAAACGGCCCTGCTCCAGTTTACCAAAGGTAATTGTTCCCGTAGGAGAGTGTAAACAGTTCCCGTATTGTAGCGATTCTCAATTTTCCCATCTATTTCCCATTCATAATAGTCATCTTGAGCCGTTAGGGAGATATTGGTGAGATAGGCATGTAAAGTTACCTGATTGTCTGTTCTTGCAGAAGGTAACAACCATCGGCCATTCAAGTAAAGATTGCTCAACGTGGAAGTCAAAGGGATTCCCATTCTGGAGTTGTTGTTGTTTGCAAGGAAGGTGATCAAGCTACCAAAAGGGGACCAATTGTCTGTCCAGAANCGGCAAGAGGTACCANTTTNCACCCTAAGNTTTATCCAATCAAAGACTGAATCTCTCATTCTAATTAGCTTGTTTGCTAACCAAGAATTTCCTTGTTGTTCTTTAAGAGTCCAGTAGTTGCTAATGTTCCCATGAAGATTTCAAGACTGAACTAGGAGATTTCAAGGAGCTAAAATT